ATTTTATTGATGTCAGAAATATATTTTAATTAATAATTTAAATAATTTATTTTTTTAATTAATTCTTTTAAATAAAAAATTTCTAACAAAAGGATATTTGTAATTGTCAAACAACAACATGCAATTCATATTTTAATTAAATTTTGTATTTATAATTCACCTTAAATGTTAATAATGAAATTTTTAATTTTTTTTATCAATTTATAATAATTTTGAAGAAATATCACTGGGTTAATTGGAGCTCTAAAAAGACTACTAATGACATGACACTCAATAAAAAAAAAAATACAACACAAAGTCAAAACATCAAATTATTTATGGTGGAAGCTATTGCCACATCATTAATGATAGCACTAATTAGTGCTCTCACCATTCTCCTTTATTTAATGACGTGGAATAAATTCGGCGACTCGTTTTTCTTGACACGAAAAAAACAACGGAAGGGGTAATCGGACATGACGGTGACGTACGTGAGTGGGACCCATCTTATGTGCAGTCACTCCTCATAAATAAGCGTTAACGGTGTGGATTAATTTTGAGGAGTATGAATTTGGAAACGACATTGACAACTAATTTGATATATCAGTATCAAAAATAGTTTGATATATTAATTAAATTACTATTATTATTATTACAACTTTAAGTATAAGGCCTAGTTTGGCATAATATAAAAAATTTTAAAAATTAAAAAATTATTATTTTATTTAAATCACATCATTTTTCTATCACATCACTTCAAATTCAATCCATATTTCACGTTTTTTTTTTTAAAAAGTTAAAAAGTACACTTATTTAGATCATCCCAAACAACCCTAATTAGGCCTTGTTTGAGGTGTTTTAAAAAAAATCAAAAAGTTACTATCTTATTTAAGGCCAAGTTTGGCAATCCAAAAATAATCAATCTTTTTATCTTTTTTCCATCACATTACCTCTCTACTTTTCTGCACATCTTTTCGTAAAAAGACAAAAAATACACTTATTTAGGTCATCCCAAACAACCTCAAGTCACATCATCTTATTTAAATCATATCACTTATCTACCACATCACTTCAAACTCAACCCATATTTTATAAAAAGACAAAAACTACACTTATTTAAAATTAAAAGTTGATTTTTTAAATTTTTTTTTAAATATATAAAAAAATATGAGAGATGATGTGATTCAAAATGGATTAAAAGCTGACTTTTTCTCTCTTTCCAAATGGAGCCTAAATATATTGAACAGCCTATTTCTTCTTTCTTCTTAGAGCAACCTATAAATAAATAAAAATATTGATCAAAATTATTTAAAAAAAAACTCAAATAAAACCAAAATAAATTAACTTTTACCAAAGTAAGATCCTAAGAATTAAAAAAAATAAACAAATCAACCTATAATTAAAAAATCATAATGAAAGAAAATAAACGGATTTTCCCAAACTAAAATAGTAATCTATAAATTAAAATTTCATATGAGAATAAGCATTAAAAAAAAAATAGTGATTAGTAGTCACAATGAAAAAATAAAATTTAAAAACAAAAAAATCCCAAAAAAACTAAATAGAAAAATCACTAATGTTGTGTTTGGTTGTGGGATTTTGAGAGGGATTTGGAAAGGGAAAGGGAAAAGGTGTGTGAAACTATGTGAAATATAGGTATATTTTTTTCATATTTCACCTACCTTTTCCATTTCCCTTTTCAAATTCCTCCTCAAATCCCTCAACCAAATACAGCATAAATTATTTTTAAATTTTCAGTGCTAGAATTTTATCTTTGTTTAGGTGAGGTAGCATTGTTTGGGAAGGGCTAAAGTGGCTATTTTAGTCCCAAAAGACAAAATATGCTATTTTAATCACAAAAAACAAAACATCGCATCCAACTCATAATCATTATATTTTTCTCTCACAAAAAAAGCTAAAAAAATCAAAAAATCATTCTCAAACCAAGTTTTTTAGCCCAGACTAAAATAATTAAAAAAATCAAATAGCCAAAAAATCAATCCACTTCCCCCAACTAGGCTAACATACTAACAATTGTGTTGGTGTTGACCCTGTTGGGTACTTTGACAAAAATAATCGAATTAAACAATTTATGTAATGAGTGAAAAAAATCTATATAAAATCATACATAGCATGTGTCACATTCAATGAAAACATTTCAAAATTATATTTGGCAAGTGAGTTTGTAGGCTTTTTTGGCTATTTTAGCCACAAAAAATAAAATAGACTATTTTAGCCATAACAAACAAAACATCACATCCAACCCATAATCATTACATTCTTCTCTAAAAAAAAACTCAAAAAAGCCAAAAAGTCAAAAAATTCTTCCCAAACCAAACTTTTAAACTCAGGCTAAAATAATCAAAAAAAGTCAAAAAACTAAAAAGCCAACTCACTTCCCAAACCAAGCCATTATAACCAAATGAAAGATGATAAAATATTTGAGCAATAAAAAATTGATAATAAAAATTAAGTTTGAAAAAAATCACTAAAGATTTTCTAAATCGTTAAATCGTATCCAAAAACAAAGTGGTGTTGATACATCACGGATTTACGTCAAATTTAGACCATGATGGGAGTAATTGATTTCATCTATTATACAAATTTAGAGTAAGTTTGAGAAATGGGTTAACTTTTTTTTTTTATTTTTTTTTTATTTTTTAGTTATTTTAATTTGGGATTAAAAAATTTTATTAGAAATAAATTTTTTAATTTTTTTGATTTTTTTTTAGAGAAAGAATATAATGATTATAAGTTAGATGTAACATTTTATCTTATTAGGTTAAAAAAATTATTTTTTATTTTTGTGACTAAAACAACCTCAAACTCAACCTAACCCAACCCAATCCAACCCAATCTAAGTTGCCAAACGAAGGCATAATAGATTTTAATAAATCCTTATGTGGGCTGAAAAACATCACTTTTTTCCACCATGGACCACGATATTTATATTATCATAAAGGGAGCATTTACGAAGATGGTTAAAATTTGATTTTTTTTTATTTTTTAAAGTTTTTTTATTTTTAAAAAATGTATAAAAAATATGAGAGATAATGTAATTCAAAATAAAAAATTAGGGTAAATTATCAATAGGTCTTAATAGTTTGACTTAATTCCTATCAAGTCCTATTGAAAATAAGTCCTACTAAAATTGTCACTATAAATAATTTTTTGTGACGATTTTTTACAAATGTCTATAAAATTTGACAATTAATGACTTTTTTTGTCACAATTGTTATAAATTGTCGCTTAAATTTATAATTAGTGACTTTTTTTGTGACAAAATTTTCAAACTGTCGCTGAAAGTTGAAAATTATTACTCCCTCCGTCCCAAAATATTAGTTTCTTATTCTATTTTTTATTGTCCCAAAATATTAGGCCCTCTTCAAAAATCAAGTACAAAAATAATATAAATTTCATATTTTGCCCTTCTTTTAAATTAATAAACAATATAAAAAGTACAATTATGACATTGATATTCTCAAAAAATGTACTATCAAAAGGATAATTTTGGAAAATCAACTTTTTTTCAAATGCAATAATTGTACTACCAAAAAAAGTTGAATTTCCCAAAAGGGACCATTATTTTGGGATGGAGGGAGTAACTTTTTTTGTAACAATTTTTTAAACTATCGCTAAAACTTATAATTAGTGACTTTTTTGTGACAATTTTCAAACTATCACTTTTTTGTGACTTTTTTGTGACAATTTTAATAGTATTTAATGAAAAATATCATTAATTATCATAAAACATATTGAATAATAAGGGCTATTTTGGGAAGATGGTTATAATCAGTTTTTTAGTGAAAAGCTGCTTATAAACAGTTTTTTTGTGAGAGAGGAAGTGGGTTATAATCTGGGAAGTGGATTATAACCCATTTCCCAAAATAGGCCTAAGTTTACATATTAGGATCTACATGCATGGTTTTAAAAGCTGGACCGGACCGGACCGACCGGTTCAACCGGTTGAACCGTCAACCGGTTGGGGTTCCGGTCTGGATACAGCCCCTAAACCGGTCATAGTGGAAAACCGGCCTATTTTGTAAGAACCGGAAAAATCGGCGGTTGAACCGCCGAACCGGTTCCGGTTCACCGGGTTGATAAAACGAATTTTTTGTTTTTTTTATTCTTTCTTTTCTTTCTTTTTTATTTTATATATATATATAATATAAGAATATAAGAAAATTTTAATTTGAAACTCTTTTTCAGGGTCTCCTCTTGTGAGATTCCATTAAGAGCTTGATGAAATTATTGTAAAAGTCTTCATAATTTATAAAAAAATTTTTTTTCAAAAAACGGCTCAAGAAATCCATGTTGGGATTCAATCAAATGTATTGGGAAGGAGTATATTGAAAATTTTGATATGTCCTCAAATTTTTGTATAGCTCTCCTTCAATCTAAATTATTTGAATTAAAATCATATGGAGGGAATATTAAATATTTGATTTCATCTTCCAAAATTGAAATTAATAATATTTTAAAATATATTATTATATTTTTCAATAAAAAAATATTAGGACAAATATTTAAGATAATTTAAT